GCATACAGTTTTCTTTCTGTTTATTTTGTCTGATAGTGACAGACATTTCTTAAATTAACCTGTCAGTGCAAATAAAATGAGACAAACAAAAGCTGAAGCTGAGAAGGTTTTTACATTTCATTTGAAACATTTGGCCTGTGGAAAGCTCTTGTGGAGTTTGGCATCTGGCTTACAATACTGCCAAGTCTTTTCCAGGCTCTTACAGATGCAGTATTAGATGTAAATTCACATTCTCTCAAATTATATTTATATGCGCCTGTTAAAGGTCCCATATATTGCAATGTTCCTATGTTTTGTTCGATGCTTTGATAACCATAACAAGATAATTTTGTGGTTTTAGAAGAGAGGAGGCTCTGAGTCTCTCTTCTGATTGGCTGACTGTTTTCTGAGTGATCCAATAAAAATACAGCAGATTTCAGGTAAACACTCAGAGAAACCAAATCCTGCAAGGTTGGGTGGTTGGTCCATGTGGGTCTAGGTGGGCTTGGTGCATGGCTGAGAGCAATGACTGCTGTGTTGTGACATCACAAAGTTACAGAAGTCCTGACGGCTGGTTTTCAGGCTCAGTTTCTGAATACAGGCTGTGTGCATTTCTCTGTGGACTGAGGCTTTGATACTTTCACAGTTTTAATATAGAACCTAGACCTGCTTTATAATCAAACAGCACATGGACATCTGCCTTTCTACTATATGGTTAAAAACAGCATTAAGACAGGAACAGTCCTTATAACACTATATAGGCCTATTTATAAGAGATGCTCGGTAGTCACTGTACTCTATAGTGAATAGCTGAATTTCTGACACTACTGACACATGGATTGAATAGTAGTTTTTTGTCCCATTGTGGGAATTGATGATGCTATATAGAACATAAATTTCACCTTCAGTTTGCAAATATAGTGCAATCTATAGTACAAAGGGGGTGACAGCATGTGTATGTCCAGTTGTCACTGGGTCATTGTGTGTGATTGTTTGGGGAACTGTGAGCAATCCCTCCGGACCACACATCCTCTTCACACACACCAGGGTATGGTGTATGTGTGAAAATAAAAACCTGTTCATCGATCCTCTGAGGGTGGAAGTAGGTTTGAATATTGAATGTATTGTAATTGTTTTTATTGACATAAGCGATCATGTACGGCTGAAACAATTAACTGATTAGTTGAAATCAGCACCTACATTATAAATTGATTGATGGTTTCAGTCATTTGTCAGGCAGTGAAAAGATTCTGAACATTCTCTTGTTCTAGCTTCTCAAATGAGAGGACTTGTTGACGCTATAAACTGAACATCTTTGGGTTTTTGACTTTTGGTCAAACAAAACTCCTGAAGACGTCGCCTAAGCAGTTATTTGAAAATGCAAATGAACTTTAGTTTCAGCCTGAATGTTATGCCAGGGAGGAACCTGAAGATTAGAGAGAGGCAGAGGGAGGGAGGAGGATGAACACAGGAAGTGAGTGACAGAGAAATAAGGACTTTGAGCGACTCTCTGTCACGAGATGGAGGCTTTGTGGGGCTTTCCTCAATGGAGGTTACAAACCAAATATAACACCTGACCCATTTACTACTACTCCTCTCTCTGATGGCTGTCCCCACCAACCGTCTCCCTCTCTCTCTCTCTCTCTCTCTCTCTCTCTCTCTCTCTCTCACACACACACACACACACACACACACACACACACACACACACACACACACACACTTCCACTCTGAAGGTCCTTTTGTCCTTAAATGATGTATGTGTGTGTGTGTGTGTGTGTGTGTGTGTGTGTAAAGGCCAGTTCATGCTCTGCTTCACATAAAGTTTGTCATCTGCTGAAGTCCGTGAGGGTCCGCACAGTCCCTTTTCAACATTACAAGTGTGCCGACTGTGCATGCACCAGAAACAGAAACTGAACACATGTTTCATATGCTGTATGTTACTGTCAGGAGGTCAGCATCCTTTGCATGTGTTAAACATTTCATCTATGTCCTCATCCGTCCTGGAGTATGATCAAGACTCAAGACGGCAGAAAGCTTGTCTAGAAAAGTTCTTTAGTATTTTGCTTGAAATGAAGGATTGGGCCCAAAAGGCAGATCTTGATATACCAACAAGTCCTCCACCCTCCAGCAGGCTGTGGAGAGTCGGCGTGGTTGTGTCTGTGGTGGTGGACAGAGCTTCTCTCCAGCTTTGAGAAAAGGGATGGTTTTCTTCCTGGGGTGGTGTTTATTGGACTGATGATTATACTGAATATATGTCCTATAATCAATACACATTCTTGTTCACATAATTTTTGAGTGATTTATTTCTATGCACATCTTAATGTGTCAAAATATAATGTGTCAAAATATAGGTCTCATATAAAAGAAAGTTTCGGCATAGAACTTGTTCTTTTAAAGTTGTTTGTCTTTTATGTTCTTCTGTTGTACTCACACACATAGATTTCATTGCTTTTGCAGTGTGCGTTCATGTCTGTAACAGGGTTTAGTAGTCAACAAAGGTCAGAGGTCACCTGTCAGACAGGTGTAGCTGGAGGCACGGTTTGTGCATGTGGATCAGGGGAAGTGTGAGTTGGAGGAATACCAGAGGGATGATGTGAGATTGACACAATTCACATATTTCTCTATATTCCAACTAATAGTCAGTGTGTCCTTGGCGACACAAACAGCTGTCAGTCGCCAGGACATACTGTATATGTTAAATATATATCATATATTTTATGTCTGAGGTACATGCTATGTGTTTTATTTACTATTTATTTTTCTATTTAAAATGTACTATTCACAGCATGAACAAAACAGCAGCAGTGTGTTGCATAAAGGTTGCTGTGCATTTGAAAATCGAGGAAGCGTGTTTTCCAGGTTGTACTGAGCCATTGTGTTCACTAGATGGTGCTGTTGTCTTAGCATACTGAAGATCTTCCAGCGCACAGGCCTCGGTCCATCTCTGTGTGGTCTGTGTGAATGTGAACGTCTGTGTGTGAAATTCTTCTCCGGCTCTGCCTCAGCCTGCCCATGTAAGTATATGTGTGTAGGTACCTATAATCACTGGTGCCTGGGTGAAGGGGGTCGCATTCCTGGGGATGTAGATGCAGCATTTGTCTTTCCAGAGATCAAATCGTGTTTACCCACAAGCGGTCGAGTCGCAGCAGCAGCAAGTGGGTCAGATTCTCCCACTGGGTTTCAGGGCAGAGAACGTTGTTATATACACTAATGTAAGGGAAAATTTCGAGGGGAGAATCAGCAAGTTGGAGGACATTAAGAAAGTCTAAAATGTTATTTCTTTTCTCATTTATTTTGTTTCACCTGCTGTTTTTAACACCGGATCACCCAGAACTTTAATCAGTGAATACAACTTGGACCAGACTTTACTGATTTTGTCTTGTGTTGATCTCATGTTCTTGGCCGCTGTTGCAGCTCACCTTTACCTGCCTGTCAAATAATACCAATAACAGAGTGGATTCACAGTTCTCATATCGGTTTCAACTTTGGGCGTTGATTGACACTGATGAGTTGAATGTTGATAGAGTTTGAACAATGTATTTGTTGATAGGTTTTATTCATTAAAAAGCCTGTGCTTTTTTCGCTCTGGGTTTGTTATGAAATAATGATAAAGCATTTCCTTTTGGTGGAGATGCATCCAGTAATCACAGTGACATCAGCCTGTGTTTGTAATCACCGAAATTTTCTTAGAACCTGCTCTTTACAGGTGGGCCACAGGTCAGCTATTGTCAACAACAGCCAAGGAGTTGGTAGGGATTAGTGATTAGTGTCAATAGCAGGATGCTGGTCCTTAACATTATTGAATTGAATACAGTTCATTCTATAAAGGACATTTAGGGAAATGTTCATTCGCTCTCTTGCCAGGAGTTCAATCAGAAGATCAATACCACTCTAACATTTGTAGGTAAATGTGAATCTACTGTCAGGACAGGGTTAGCTTAGCTCCACATGAAGAGTGGAAACAGAGGGGAAACAGCGAGCCTGGTCCCGGCCAAGACAGAAAGAAAGACAAAGAATCTGCCTGCCAACATATCTAAATCTCTCTAACGAACATATTTGATGTGTTCAATCTGTACAAAAAAAAGTGTAAAAAGACAAGGTCAGGACTATTTCTTGGCTGAGCACAGTAACTTTGTGAAGCTTTGTCATCACACAAGGTCACACAACCAGCAGAGACTTGAGGGATTCACTGAATTCTATCCAATAGATAATCCACCACATGACCCCAAATTTTTTAGTGCAAGCTAACTGTTTCCTGGCTGTAGCTATGAAATGGTATCAACCTTATCTAACTCTGCAAGAAAGCAAATAAGTGTATTCCCCAAACTGTTGAAGAATCTCTTTAAGTACAGGTCAACAAATTTGTACGTGTAGCAAAAATCGTCAAGTATAAAAGTTGGTCTAAAAGTGGTCAAAGAGTCCAGATCTGACACAGCAAATGTTTCACTTTCAGAAGTAACTGCACTAACCCACATCTTCTTGTGTAATTTTTTTCATTTAAATACTAAAGCAAGTTTTACAGCGATGTTCCCATGTCAGTGCCTGGGAAAATGGATAAAACACATTAACTGGGGGTCGCCTGGGTACAGGAGATTCTATGGAATGAAAACATTCGTTCCAGCTGGTCTCCAAATTTAGGATGCAGACTGTAAAACGGGCTATTGTGCTCCTTTATTCCTCTCTGTTGAGACGTAGTAATGTTTCCTGTGGAGGCAGCGACATACAGATGCCAAGAGTGCTGCTGCAGCTTCCACTCCCCATTCAGCTTTCCCAAAACGTTTGAAAGGAGAGAAGGGGACTGTGACGATGCGTTCAGAAGCAGGACACTGAGATTTGTTTTTATGAATGAAACAGCTTTTTTCTTCTCTTTTTGGATGTCTCTGTAGGGAGCTCTGTGGTCTGCACCTCAGATTTCCTAAAAAGGTTAATGAGGCATTGTCGATTGTATGAGTAACTGCAAACTGCTCCTCTCTTTTCCACCCCACCCCCCACCCCCCACCCCTCATCCTTCTTGCCAGACTGCCATAGACAAATTGACCTGGAAAGACCGTCTTCCTGGATACTTCATCAACGTTTCCTCTATCCTCTTCATGGTTAGTACATAAAAATCAGGTTAAGGCTCTACTAGGGATCATATATTTTCTCAGTAAATGGATGAGAGCACTTTAAATACAAAAATAAACATGTATATGACAGAGTTATTGTACAAGTACGGTGACCTACATCGATGTCTTCCTATAAATATTAATTCCAGCCACTGCACTGTGACTATCACATAAATATGATGACATGATGACTAATTCATTTTCCTATCTTTATTTCCCTTTGCTCCCAGTTTGGGCTGACGTTTTCAGCAGTCTTCGGGGTCATTGTCTACCGAATCACAGTGTCGGCCCTGATGGCAATGAGCCCCGACCCGGAGACCAAGTCCAATGTTCGGGTGACAGTGACGGCCACTGCGGTCATCATTAACTTAGTGGTTATTCTGATCCTTGATGAAATCTACGGAGCTGTGGCAGTGTGGCTGACCGAGCTAGGTACAGAAACACATACACTTAGTTACTCTTATAGTGTGATTGCTTTGAGAACCTAATGCAAAGAGAACCTAACAAACAATGTTACCACAAGCATTACTAGCTAGCCTCAGAGCCAAGATTGCTGAATTATTAAAGGAGCTATTTGTAAGCTTTGCAATTGCTACATAGCTAACGTGAGCAGTGACGGCAGTTTACAAGTGTAGTTGTGAGTTCAGCATCACACTTCATTCTTTAACTTGCCAAGAGCTGTCTCCAGTGGTGGTAACATACGCCAATGTTAACTATTGTCTTTATTAAGTCGTTTCTTCTACTGAAGTTAGCATGCTAGCCAGCTAGCCCTGGCCTGTCTCATTATTTACTGAGAGCTGCAGCCTCCTGCCCTGAAGATGTAGTGCTACTCAAAGGATGCAGTATAACCTTTTGTCTTGTAAATGCAACAATGGCTGAAGCTCTTGTCAAGCGACAATCACCACGACCGGCTCCAAGCAAGAAGCAGAGAAACCTTACAAATAGCTTCTTTAAAGAAATAGTTTGAAATGTTTGGAAAACCTTATATTCGCTCTTCTCAAAAGTGAGATGACATTTTTTATACTACTCTCATATCAGTATGGCATGTGAGAAGCTAGAGCCATGGTTAGCTTAGCTTAGCACAAAGACTAGAAACAGGTGGAAACAATTTGCCTGGCAACAACAAAACAACATAATATCCTGCTAAAACCATAACTTGTTTCAAACTTTTGTTTCATACACAATATATTCAAGACATACTGTTGCTCATGAAGTTGGAATAAAATATTTTTTACCTCTTTCCATGAAATGATTGTGACAATGTGATTTATTCTTGACAGATAAAGTGTATATCTTCTCAAAACTTTAGAAGTTAATCTCTACCAAAGTGATTACTGATGCATTTAAATAGGAATAAACAGAGGATTGTGTCTGAAAACAAAATTATTACAATTTATGGGCAACAGTGTATAATGTGTTTATTAATCAAATAGCTGGTAGTCTAAACATGTTCTGACTGTAGCTTAATATTTACTGCACAGATATGACAATAAATAATACTTTAAACACAAAAGTTAGCTCAGAACTGCCATCAATCAACATTTGAAGCTATTTTAAGTACAGGGAACATTTTTTTTTCCAAGGTAGAGTAAGAGCACATTGCTGATTGATATACGAGCGACATGCTTCACTTTGATTTCACCCCCTTAAAATAAAAACAGTTCAGTTCAGTAATGCTCTGTCAATCAAAGAATATTTTAAGAACACAATTAAATCGGTTAAATGTCCAACTGAGTTTTTCCTGATTCCTATTCTTTCTTGTTACTAATGCGAATCAGATGTGATTTCAGTCACTTGTACTTCCATATTCATGACATGTTTAAAAAACGTTAAGGAAAAAATTCTGTCTGCCTCTGCGACTCATAAAGTAAATCAGCGTTTTTACATCATGTAATCATCCTGCATCTGTGAGGGTGAGAGACAGAAAGAGTCTTTCCGCCTCTTGGTGGACAGTTTGATGAAACTTTGATGTTTTCATGCTCCAGCCGTCCCATCAGTCGTCCCAGGAGGTTTCAACCACATTTACATTCATATTCAAACCTCGGAAATAGAGGAAAAGAATGGGATGGAAAACTGTGAGAAAGAGGGAAAGTGTGCGCGTGTGTGTGTGTGTGAGAGAGAGAGAGAGAGATGCCTTGTGAAAAGTGCCAGTATTTTAACCTACTTCCAGCACAGTGATCATGTTATAACTCTGATTCAAGAGTCAGCCTGACAGAATCACTACTTTTCTACGTGAAGAAAACCTTAACATCCATTCATATAATACAATGACCAATTCTAACATCTGGATGTTAGCCACACCTAATATACTGTACATACGTTCCACCTTAAGTGTATTTAACTTGCCCCCCCCCCCACGCTGTGCCCTGACCTCATAAAAACAATGCCGTGTCAAATTCTTTGTTACAGAGATTCCCAAAACGGAAACCAACTTTGAGGAGCGACTCATCCTCAAAGCCTTCCTACTCAAGTTTATGAACGCATACGCTCCCATCTTTTATGTGGCTTTCTTCAAGGGCCGGTAAGTCCTGTGCCTGTGTGTGCAGGAGTATGTTCGTGCGCAGCTGTCCCGCGAGAATCATGTATCTCCAAAATGTCAATTTTTTTATGAGCTAACTTTGTAACAATGTATTTCTGAGCCAACACAGTGGAGTTTGAAAGGCATCATTTAGGTCGGGAAGGAGGTTTTCCACAAACCATAGTTCCCAACTGTAGGCCAACAAATCATTTGCACAACAGTATGATTTTGGTGAAAAAATGTAATTGATTGATTTACTTTCTTGTCCAGCTTTGTCTCTTTGTCTTTGGCTTCTTCCAAAGTACAATAAATATACATTCAACAAAGCAGCAGCAGCTTATATACATACCAGAGAGCAAATCATAAAAAATAACAGGAAAAGTAAGTAGTGTTCCGTGAAGCAGTCAGTAATTATAAAACAAATGAAAATGTAAATGATGTATGTAAATGTTTTAAAATGAAAGGAACTTTAAAAAGATTATTTCAGTCATCAAAAAAGAAAAACTGAGCTCCCCCTGCTTTCAGTTCAGTCCTGAATGTTTGTTACCTTTAAAATATAAAGTTCTCTAAGAAGGCATTATTTGGCCTCCATATGGTAATGGGTCAGATGTGGGCCGCAAACATTTTTGAGATTTTCAAGTGGGCCATGAGTTGGAAAAGGTTGGGAACCTTACATCAACGCCTTACTCTAACATGCCTTGCATGTCATTTCACTTGATGCCAAAACACAACTGTTTACATCCATTTTAGAAAAAAATATTAACATCACTTCTGAGTGAATCCAAGAAATATTAAAAGGAACATTTCTGTGCTTCTGCAGGTTTGCAGGTCGACCCGGAAATTACGTGTATGTCTTTAACGATTATCGGATGGAGGAGGTTTGTTCTTTTCATTTGGCTGAATATGTAAAACATCAGGTGAGGATGAATACGTGTACAAATGTCGTGCTTGTGTCTCCCTCAGTGTGCTCCAGGAGGCTGCCTCATTGAGCTGTGCATTCAGCTCAGCATCATCATGCTGGGGAAACAGCTAATCCAGAATAACATCTTTGAAATCGGCATCCCGTAAGTACGCTACAGAGGATTACTAACAAAAACAGTAAGATCAAAGGTAAGATGTGTTGTCTAATGTCTGAAGAGCCAGCGACACCTCACACACATACCAACATGCACACAGGCACTTACAACATTCCCTCTTTTATGTTCCGATAACATTCCCCCCTTGTCTGTACAGTGCTTCTCCATCTTGTGTAATAGCTCAGCTTTTACATGCAAATCCCAAACGTCAGAGGTCAGCTCTGTTTATAACAACTGTCACACAACAGAGGGGCCTTTCAGCCTCAGGCCGCACTGTTACTGTTGCTGTGAGCACAGCTCGACCTCCTGACCCGTTAGGTGAGTCTCATCAAACGCTGATGTTTCTCCAGGACGTCCCGTGGGATCAGAGATCCAGGGCACATACCATCATACCACTACATGCCATCTCCTCATCTGTTTCACATTCATCCACTTAAAAGCTTTCGCACCTGGGAGGCGACCAGGAACACCACAGGGCCTATACTGTGGGCCAGTATGCAGCCTCTGTCTGAAGATGTAAGATCTAGGGGCCGGTTTCACAAAGATATTTTAGGCTGGTCTGTAGTGTTAGGTCAGTTTTAGCGAGCTCATAGATTACTCTAATACAAGTAAGACAATTTCACAAAAATAAAGACTGACTCATTTTAAGACAAAAAAATGAGATAACTTATTATTCACCAACACAGCGCAGGATCAGAAACGGAGCTTGTGATCATATTCCACATCTTTTGACCTTGAAACTGTGGTGATTGTGTAGATCTTCCGTGCAGCCATGTGTTAGTACTTGTAGCTTCTTTGCAGCAACATCTGCATTTGAAGTTTTGTCTTCTATCATGGCTCCAACTACAACTGTGTTTTATCAGAATCAGCTTTATTGGCCGAGCCTGTGAACACATACAGACTCTGTTTTTTGTTTCTCTCAGTGTGATAACTTCCATTTCGCCAGAAAATACACTGAGCGCCTTTTATTAAATTCCTTCAAAGCCTTCAGTGCGTTTTATGAATCTGGACAGGTATGGATGTTAACTGCAACTTGACTGGTTGGCGGAGGCATACAAATGCTTTTTTAAGGAGAGGCTGGGACACAGTGTGTGACTTTGAAAACCCCTGGTGTATCACACTCGTACAGTAACGCGGTGTTTCTGGTCACCTGATGAATGTAAGTCCAACACTGATCGTCCAGCTTGTCAGATGCTCAGTTTTACACCAGGCTAAAAGCGGCATCCAGCCGTGCAGGTTGGCACCTCTCTCACATTCTGATCAAAATATTGCTAAATTCAGGTTCAATGAAACATTTAACGTCAACATACATCCAGTCCACATGACTGCGTGTGTGTGTTTGCGTGTACTGTGAAAACCGTAACTCCCTTGTGTTTGTGCAACGACCACATAAATAATGCAGTGAAGCATTTAGCTGCTTTTATTAGAGCTTTTTTACGAGCACTGCACACATTCACAAGCATACAGATTAATACCCAACAATACATACATACATATTAACACTGTATACTGTGCATAAGGACACACTGCAGACACTACTGTACATACGCACACACAGATACTGTAAGTGGGGGTTATTTACACGGAGGCGTGCACTTACAGCAACACACCACACTCTCTGTATCTCTGTACCTGGCTCTCCCTCTCTCTCTCTCCCTCTGTGTTTTCCCAGCAGCAGCTTGTTAGCATCACACAGCTTCAGTTTTCTGCTGAACATCTCTGCCAATTTCTTTGGAAGCCTTCACAGTTCTTAAAAAACAGTTAGTGTCTGGCTCTAACTCCCGTCAGTTTTCAATGAAATGTCAGTTTTACTGCACCTCTGTAAATACTTGTTTGGCTATTATGTTTCACAAGCAGAGGTTGTGTTCAAGAGAAAGTTTACTGAGAACAAATCCCATACACCAAAACCACCCTGCTTCACATTTATATGTTAAAATCACTGAGGTAAAGTAAATACTGGTGTTTTATTTATCAGGGAGAGAAGTCAACCTGCCTGTTATTTTATACTTTTCCCACGCAAAATTAGCCGCAGTCTTCTTCTCACACAGCTCTCCCTCTGTCCTGACAGGAAGTTGAAGAAGCTGGTGCGAGCACTGAAGGCTAAAGGATCAGCAGAGAAGGAGAGGGAGGAGGAGAGGCCTCCACAGCAGTGGAACCTGGACTACGCCCTGGCTGCCTTTGAAGGCCTCACACCTGAGTACATGGAGATGAGTGAGTCTGCACACACACACACACACACACACACACACACACACACACACACACACACACACACACACACACACACACACACACACACACACACATACACACACACATCTTTGAAGAACTGCACTATTTCGGTGTTGGCTTCATTTTTCAGCATCGGAGGTTGCCGCTTGAATTTACCTGACACCAACACGAGACATGTGACTTATGACTGTTAGTGTGTAGTTTTTGAGCCTGAACCACAGCAGTGGATGGAAAACAATGTATTTACCCATTTAGTTTGGAGAACCTGTTTCATTCATGCACATGCAGCAGTGCACTCACGCTGTATATAGGATGATTAGTTTACATTCATGTCTGTCACAAACCAAAGCACATAAACAGTGTAAATGTAGTCACAGATTAAATGTGTTTCCTCTTTCATGTGTAAACAATCTCAGCTGTGTATAAGTTTGGTATTTAACCTTAAAAGCCCTACATGTAATTAGCATTGTGACATTATTTTGAATGGCTTTCAGTCTCATTCACTCTTTCCACTGCTTTGGTTAAAGCCTGAATTTTATTTGCTTTCACTTTTTCAGGCAGTTTTCTAGGTATTAAAATAGAAAATAGTGTTTCCTTTGTAATTCCTTATTTGTCTAGATTTGATAGCAAATGGCAGCGTGCTTATACAGGCCTGTCACTGGATGTTTGATGGATGAATGGAGGAGTAGGCCACCGTGTTGGAAGGCTAACAAGCAGAGGGACTGTGGACTGGATTCAGAACGACTGAGCGGTCTTTAGACAAGCTTTTGGAGTTTTCTACAGGAGCCTATAGGAGCACGACAACTCCTCAGGCACCAGTACAGTATGAAATTTTATGTAAAAGTGATACAGTAAATGTAGCGTACCCTTAAGCCCTGACCTGTCTGACACATCACGTGAAATTATAAGGCTGCTACATATTGATAAAGGCAGGGAATTTAAACATATAACACAGTGTAACACAACATAACGTTCATAATTAGATGAGACCGACTGGAGAGAGAAACAGTCATGAAAATCCTTTAAAGGTTTTCGCCTTGGTCACTGTGGGAACTGTGTAAATAAGATTTTTTAAATAACCTCGACCTTATCAGCTGGTCCAGCATTTGGAGGGAATTCAGAGCTTCTGTGGAAAACTGGCAGTGGCACGGCTGCTTGGCATTATCAGTCTGGATTTACTGTTGTTGGCACCAGTTAAACATGGTGGAAAGAACACTGTAAATCAAGTAATATCCAGAGGCTCGCTGCATCTCATCCTGACAAAGACAAGACAAAACAACTAGAAGAAAAGAAAAGAAAGATGAAGTCAACACAGAAGAAAAATGAAAATAAAATCATCATTATTGTCAGTCTGGAAACCGTCCACAGGTTGAATAGTTTGAAGGAGGACAGTTACTATATGTGCCAATTAGAGTTGACTGATTCATTGCCCGTGAAGAGAAAGTTATTATGTGGAGCTGGTAAAGAGCTGCAGGTGTTGACTTTATGTTTCAGAGTACAGACACACAAACACATGCACTCACACGCACAGCTCTAGGCGCACCTCTTATACTATTACGGCCAACCTCAGTCACAACAAACCAACACCTGCTCGGTCGTAACCTAAGAGTAAAGTCAGAGGTTGAGCTGAAGAAGGAGCCGCACTGAATAATTGAATATTTATTTGCAGGAATCAATACTGAGGATTGATATTTAGCCGCTAAGATTTAAATATCAGTGTTTTGGTTACAATTGTGATCAGCTGATTAGTCACGTAAAGAGCTGTTTTGATCGTCTCGCTCACAGACAGTGAGATTCATGAAAGTTGTTGAATATCCACAGAGATGTTGCAAAAAAAGGCGGCACGGTGGTGCAGTGGTTAGCGCTGTCACCTCACAGCAAGAAGGTTCCGGGTTCGAGTCCCGGCTCGGACGCGGGGTCTTTCTGTGTGGAGTTTGCATGTTCTCCCCGTGCTTGTGTGGGTTCTCTCCGGGTACTCCGGCTTCCTCCCACAGTCCAAAGACATGCAAATGGGGACTAGGCTGATTGGTTACCCCAAATTGAGTGAATGGTTGTTTGTCTCCGTGTGCCCTGTGATGGACTGGCGACCTGTCCAGGGTGTACCCCGCCTCTCGCCCGAAAGGATGCTGGGATAGGCTCCAGCCCCCCCGCGACCCTACTAGAGGATAAGCGGTAGAAAATGGATGGATGTTGAAAAAAAAAAAAAAAACAGATAATTATCTTGGTAGAAATAACATCTAGTCGTTCTGTCTCATCGACTGATCCAGAATCTATGAATACTACGTGTAAATACTGTTGGTTTCTCCATGTTCTGAGCATGGAGCTGGAGCCTGGAAGCATCAGGTTTCCTCATCGCACTTGTTGAAGTAACACGTTGGACAAGGATTTACTCCAAACTGCGATGACACAAATCCATTTTGTACGTATGCGTGTTTGATATGTTAAGTAAACATCCCTCAGCAGATGAATGTGAAAACAACCCTTTAGTATCAGACTGTGACAGTTAAGGTCAAACATTCAAGTGAAGTAAACAATAAGCAAAACATATTTCTGAGTGGACGGGAGCTTTAAAGTTGCAGATTTAAACACTTGAATTATGGGAGAGTCTGTTTTTCCCATGAAAATGTTTGAAGAAGCAACAACAACAAACTGGATTAAATACACGACACAATATTAGAACTCAGAGACTCCACTAATGCAGTTCCTGTGTGTGTGAAAGCGCACTGACATCTGTATCAAATATTGGGAAAATGGGAATTTGAAATACATATTATTTCTGGAATGATTTTAAAGACCCCCTCTGAAGGTTTAACCTTGTTAACATCCATATGGTGTTTTTTTTTTTTTTTGTTGCACTTTTTATGTTGGAAAACCATGTAAAACAAAACATTAATCATAGCAGAGTATTTTTACACAGTTAAAACATGTCTGGAGAGAAACTTTAAGCCTGGCCTCCTCCAGCTGCCTGTACAAACACAAGCAGAGCCATGCTGAAGTGCAGAAAGGGAGAAAGATTTAGCATCACTGTGCAGTTGGAGTTAACTTTGCTTGACCACGCTGCTGAGTCAAAGTCAAAACGTATCCAGCTGTTTGTAAAAGTCGGAGAAAAGCAGTAGCTACATTACCTCGACAACAGTCTTTATAATGGCTGAAATGAATTAAGATTTGTGCTTTTTCGCCAACATCTTTAAAAATGTTTCAAACAATAAACAGCAGCAGAAACATTTCGACTGTAAAGTCGCTGTAATTATAGACTGGAGTTATTTTACAGGTAAAAGGTAATTGAATGTGAAACCATCTGCTTCAAGGCAGCAACGAATACATTAACTGATGATTGAATGTCTGTATAGAGCGGATAAATGCAAAAAATGTGCTGAAGAGCGACACAGCCAGCAGATTAAAAAAAGAGAAGAAGACAACTTCATAGAGAAAGACAGTGCGAGCTGATACGGCTGCACAGCTTGATATTTCTGAGCACTTCCCACTGGTGGATTGAATCAAAGTGCAGCAGCAGTTCAGTAAACATGCAGGAACAAGCTTGACCTTAGAAAACTGGGAACATCTGTATATGTGAAGCAGTAAAACTGGATATATTCTGCTCTAATGTCAAAGCCATAAAAACACTGAGGTTTTGGTGAAATTGTAAATAGCAAATATAGTTTAGTCAGTGAAATATATTTACGTGTTCTGTGTGAGAAATGTTCTTGTAAATGTGGAGTTCTGGCTAACGTGGAGCAGGCTGAGGGAAGCAGGAATATACTGTATATATTAAATATTAAACATGAGCAGAGCTTTTGGTGGAATCAGGATCTGCCTTAAAGACCCCCTCTGATTAAAATCAAGTGTTTAACCTTGTTAACATCCATATGATGTTTCGTATATGATACAACTACGCTAACAGTTCTGATCCGTCTGCTAGTCTCTGACTCTGGTCTCAACAGAGTCTGAGTCTGGGTCTGCCTGAGGCTAAATTCAGTGTTTCTCAAACTGTGTGTGAGTGACCGCAAAGCCAAGTAGCAAGTAGTGTGTATGTGTTGCTTTCAACATTAAATCAAGTCATCTGTACACTCAAACATTATTATTTGAATTTGCTGCGTTGTCACGTTAGCTGTAACCGAGCGACTCACGCAGCTAAAGCAGTTCACAGTTTATTATTTTACATGAAAAATGATCAGCGTGACATTTGAAATGAGACGTGGATGAAGCTCAAGGTTAGCCTGTCCTGGGACTGGGGACTGGGACTGGGACTGGGGGGGGGGGCACAATAAAGGCCTCATCCAGATTTCTCAATGAGGGAGTAAGAGGAGATGTGGGAGGTGGAGGTGGGAGGAGAAAAACAGAGGAGGGATGACACAACAAGGAATGTCAGAAATGTCTGCTCTCTACATGCAAACACACACTCACACATGGTTGTCAGTGTGTTTGTGTGTATTCCTGGGTTTGTGTTAACTCATTTATTATTTTTGTGTGTGTGTGTGTGTGTGTGTGTGTGTGTGTACAGTACCTGTAAGCCCCCATGCTCGTGTTAAGGTGTGTGTGTCTTCCTTTGTGTTTTCCAGCCTCGAACCCGTCAACCTCGTCTCAGGTAGATAGCGAGGTTATTCTAAGCTTGCCCTCTAGCGCTCGCTGCGCCGCTGTCGTATTTTCTTCCTCTCCACTCTTTGTCTTTGCGTGGCGTCCCGAGGTGAGGCTGTCTCCGGCTCGCTGGAAATCCCCGTTCCCACACTGCTAAAGTTCCACACATCAGCCAGAGTCAGGCGAACCGCCTCGTCTCTCTCATGTTTCCTGTCCACAGCCTTAAGAAGCAGGTGGATGTTGTTTTGATCATTTATTTGTCTTTATTAATTGGTTTATTAGAGTTTCTCACAGTGATTAAGCTCATATTTGTTGTGCTTTCCTATTGGCCCGAGCTCAGCTGTTTCACTTAAGTCTTTTATCTGAAAAGCTGCTCTGGTGATTGAACTAGTTGTTTCTGCAGCTCTCCTGCCTGCAGCCCCACAGTCACTGTGCTGTGTGTGCTTGTGATGCACTACATAATACATTCCCATCAACCTTAGTTTAAATAATTAGTCAATGATGTTGTGCGTGTGGGTTATCCAATCAGACACAAGCATACAGCATAGATACACAGCACATAGTTCCACACACACAGCTTAATCATAAAAAGTCCCAGTTTAGCTGCTGTGGAGTGTTTAACCTTAAAAGGCATGATCTGAACCACAGCGCCAGCCCTGACAGACAGTGTGACTCCTGACCAGACAAATGACGTTCGCCAATGTCAATCTGTGATGGTGGTTTGAAAATGTGTGTTTCCGATGTTGATTCCTCGCTCACACGTCGACCTTTTCTTTTCCTGTCACGCGGCAGAAGTGGTTGTTTTTGCAGCAGCTCCGAGCACGTACGAAGATGTTTTCTATGAGAAACTTTGCCTTTGTTTAGTAGCTGCTGCCGAAAGCACAGAAAATTACTTCATATCATACATGTCATTTGTAATTTGTCACCTTTCTCACGCTCACGTAGCATAGCGCCAGTGTGCCCCATCGTATTTCACCCGCTGCCACTAAAATCAGGTATTTTTAAATCCTTCACATAGGTCCTTTACTGGATTTACGATCACTGACTGGGAGCGCAGTTACACTACAGTACAATCAGAGTACAGCATTTACACAGGCTTCACTTGACTCTAGCGTATAGTTGATGTAGATGTAAATGTAGTCACTGTTAAAGTTAGAATATGCAACTTTTCCACATTAAAATGTCTAAAAATAACTAGACCTATGTTATACATGTTGTTGAGTTGTGAACTTACATTATCCCAAAATGTTTCCAGCACTTTTAAAAACAAGAGAAATCTGAGAAATCTGTTAGGTCATATCCTTTATGTGCATGTGTCAGTGTTGTGCTGGTCTGCCAGAAATGGATCATAAGTTATCAGAGAAACAATGGAAACATTAGGAGCAGTCTCAGCCCCCAGCCCTTCCCTGACGCCTCGTGTCCGCCGCACAGCGACGGCCAAACACTGACTTCAAATCAGTGTTTTGCTTTATTCAGTGTTTTGAACGGTTATACTCAGCTGGTCTGTTTGATTTGGAGAGGAGGAGACTTCTGTGGTAAGAACCTCCTGAGTGACCGACACTGAAGGAATCCCAGCAAGGAGAAGCTGACGGCAATGGTGGTGAAGACAAAAACTCCCATGATCCCACACTATTTCACAACAGCTCTCAACTAGGTGTTTTGTCTTTGTTTTGACTGAGAGACCCCGAGCGGCAGAAGTTACAGACTGTGTGTTTAACCAAGCTATTGTCTGTATCAAGCTGAGGAAATACATAGATATTCTGACATAGAATTCCTGCGAGCTCTAAAGGCTGCGATCTTTCACCCTCTGAAGACATGATGATGTAAAATTCCTCCTTTAAACAAATCTATCAAACCCTGGGAGCAGCTACTAAACAACCTCTCCATCTGGCCTTAGTTTAAAAGCGCTCCAGCGGAGACGTGCTTTGATAAAGGATGGTATCATTGATTTAATTGTGCAACTTTAATTTATGACAGGCTTGTTATAAATATTCACTTGTACCAAATGACTGAAAATTAACAACCTATTGTGATGTTTAACGACCCGACAGCACCCGCTGTGGCAGGTTTAATAATCGTTTACCTCTCTCTCCTGCAGTCATCCAGTTTGGGTTCGTCTCTCTGTTCGTGGCTTCGTTCCCGCTCGCTCCTCTCTTCGCCCTCCTCAACAACGTCATCGAGATCAGACTGGACGCCAAGAAGTTTGTTACAGAGCTACGCAGGCCAGTAGCCGTACGAGCTAAAGACATTGGTAAGCTGATCTGACACGCATGAAGGAGAGAAATATGTACGATACACCAGAATACAGACAACTTGAAACTTGATATTTCTCAATTCTCAAACATCACGGGACAAAAATCGACCGAAGTGAGGTTTACAAACTGACGCCCTCTAGCAGTTCAGCGTTGTAAAGTTGTTTTCCTCGGTTAAAACCAAATCTCTTTCATGCTTCAGCTTGAACTCCGTGTACTTTTGAGTCGAGACAGTACAGTTTGAGTTTTAGACCTTGATTGTGAGGACATTTCTAGAGCGTCAGGACATGTTTAGAAAGTGAGGACATTTTTTAAAGTGTGGACATCTTTGTAAAGTGATGTCCAACAGGTCTCACACTCTAATGAATAGAAACACTGTGGAAGGACGACATGGACACACTTATGCACTCACTCCTGCTCTTCTTTCTGCAGGTATATGGTACAACATACTGAGTGGAATGGGAAAATTCTCAGTCATTATAAATGTAAGTATCAATGCAGTGTTCTGCTTTTCACTAATCCTATTAAATTAGTGAGGAAGGCAGATACACAATGAACACATAAAGACATGTATTCAATCGAAGGGACTGTACATAATGTGTCTGTATGAAGATCCTACATAAGCACTTTTACTCTTTAATAAATTGTCAAATATCTTAACTATGAGACATTTGTGTAATTAGTGTTAACAGTGAATGCCCTCGCTGAGGTGACTTTTAGTTTTTAGCAGCTTCTCCAGTGCACATTTTAAATTCAAGACTAAAAAACTAAAAATAAATCCATATGATGCCATACATTTTAATTATTGCATGGAGCGTATTCTAATGTCAGTATTGTTATTACAAAAATAGGGTTTCATGTACATAAGTAGGGTCTTTTTAATTACATAAAACATTATAAGATAAGAAAAGTTTTCACCATGTGTTTGATTCATTTAGAGAAGACATTCGGTTACATTTTAAAATTTTAACAGAATCCTGAGGTCACAGTGTTCACACACAGTTCAGTAACGTCAGAGAAATCGCAGGCAGGAATAGATGTCAAAGGTTAACAAAGAGTGAATAACAGTTCTTTGCCACTGACCTTGAACTTCTCTGCAGGAAGGTTTCAACATGTAATCCAGCTCTCATCTGTTCTCTATGTGTGTGTGTGTGTGTGTGTGTGTGTGTGCGTGTATGTCCTGCATAGACATGAATGTACACTGGTGACAGCTGATATTAAACACAGATTAAAGCTCTCAGATCCCTCTGAGATGTCACCTTTGACCACCTGATGAGAACCAGAATTATGTCTGAAACACCCATACATGCTGATCTGTGCAGGCCAAGGTGTGTGTGTTTTTGTGGGAGTTCAGGAAAGTTCTGTTTGGGATTTGTCCTCAGCCAGTGGACTAAATCCTATTCCGTTTACTTTTAATACTAAACAGATTTATGGAGGATTCGGAAAAACAAGCAGCGGGAGTTTTTATTTATTCTAGAGCTCTGGGGCACTGAACACACATACACACACTTAATATACCCTGGGAGCTTCAAGGCAATGGAAACTGGAAGCAGAATTCCCCTTTTGTGAATGTATCTTGCATCTATCAGTTTTACAGACTTTATTTAATATTACTAAATGAATACATTGCATTCCTCAAATATCTCTGAAAAACATGGTTTACCAGAACTGTTAGTGCTTTCTAACATCTGAAAATAAACACTTTGACCCACAAATGTCTTTCACTAAAAACTGGTGGAGTTCTACACGCTAAACTTATTTTCTCATGCTGTAATCTTTAACAGTGCTAACAGAAAAATATTTCTCTGTCTCTCTCTTTCTCTCTGGAGGCCTTCGTGATCTCCTTCACATCAGACTTCATCCCTCGGCTCGTCTACCAATACATGTACAGTCAGACTGGCACCATGCACGGCTTCATCGACCACACACTATCCTACTTCAATGTGTCCAATTTTAAACCCGGCACGGCACCACAGAGCTCCGGAGACATCCCCGTCTGCCGGTAAACACACACAGAAACACCTGCAGAGATACAGTTTTTGGAGGCAACTGTTTAATTACATTTGTGACAGGCATGGTTAAATACGATTGACAAATCAAGGGGTATTGTAAAACCATTATTGTAATTATTTAATTCGGGATTTAGCAAAAATAGGCAAACAGAAACAGATACCTATTCATACACTTATTCATGCACACAAGCTAATTTTCACAAACGTACAACTCGCTGTCCCTTGTTTTTTGATAGATTTTTCCTTTTGCTGCACTTGGTGAGCATTCAAGAAAAAATTCAACTCTGCAAATCTGTAACTCAGAGGAATTTAGTTTGGGGGATTTTGTCTAAGTGGATAAAACAGCATTACTCCGTCTTGTCATAGCTTACAAGGCTAGAATCCATTTAATCTGACAGAAGGATGTCTCTGTTTCTGCTTTGGTTCATTGAGCTCATGTCCATCTCCAAATGGATCCAGAAGCCTTTAGTTAACACGCTGAAAACCATTTACACTTCCTTATATTCACACCAGATGCATCAACATCTGCTGTCAACAGAACCTCTTACAGAACAGCAACACACTTTTGTGTCATAAAGTCATCCAGGGTATTCTGTTTTTGTGATAGCAGAGTAATAATGCAGCCACTGCAGATTTAAAGCAGGTTTTTCTTATCCTGACCGAAACTCTTAATTAGTGTGAGCGTTGTGAAAATGAGCCGCCAGCATGTGATATATATAATGATGTATCGTCTGCATAAAGCAACATACAGTATTTTATATTCAATTTCGTGTTTGTACTGTGGGACTGATACATTATACGAGTTATAAGTCTAATTGCAATGGCCTCTTTGTGGTTGTTAAAGAATAAAGTGTTTTCACCATGTACGGTTAAACACTCAACAGGTAATCCCCTTCTAGACCGTCAAAGGTCTTTTGCATCTAGTGAGCAAACTGCACACGTTTGAGTCTAAGATGGGCTGGAGCTGATGATTCCTCTGAGATTTTCTTGACTCAAATAGGAGGAGGAGAGAGAATATCCTCAGCTGACAACATGTGCCACCAACTCAGTCACAACCTGAGTTACCAAATAATACAATATGAATTTTTGTGAACGGTAATGTTAAACATCATGTGAGCAAGTAGTTTTTGGTTTGAGATGTAGATGTGGTTCAGGCTGAAACACACACCTACATACACACACACACACACACACACATTTTGAATCCTAAGACAATGACAACGGATATGACAGATACTGGCACAATCTCCATTAGTGCATAGTCAAAGACAGTGCACTATTGTACTGTATCTTCCGTGCATTTCCACACATACCAGTGGCAAGCGTCTCTTTCATAACTTCAATATAAAGCGCTGTGGAGGAAAAGGTCACGGATGCCAGCGCCCACAGACAGCTGAGGCCGACCTGCTGTTACATAAGGCAGCAAAGAATTACAATGCAAGAATACAGTCTTTGTGTCAGTGTGGTGTGGCACGTCTCGTCCGAAACATGACGAGATTCTGGTCGCCCTGAACACTTTATAGGCGTGAAATTGGCTGGTGGACGTCCAAGAAGGGTGCGTGTGTCTACAGGGTGTGTATGGTGTATGTACAGACAGGCAGTGTATTAGCTGCTGATGTTGTGGGCAACGCCTCTGGGCTCAAGGAAAATAATCCAACTCAGTATGTAATTCAAAGTATGTCAGATGCTCCAGACAGTTCGTGTCTTTCTTTTTCCTGCTCTCTTTCCTTTTGACCCAGTTAATTTGGGGCCTCTCGTATGAATAAGTGCATGCAGGAGGGAAGAAAAGAGGTCAAGAATGGATAAATGGATGGTTGGATGAATGGATGGATGATGGTGTCAGACAGATGACGGAAGATATCATTGATGATCAGATAAAGATGCAAAGATCTGGGGGAGGACGGAAGGAAGCAACTTTCCAGACAAGTGAGAAATGGTTAGAGATACAGCAGCATTCAAGGATGTAGAGATAACGCAGGGAGGAGGATGGAGGTACTGTAGCTGGACGGATGGATGGATAAATAGGTGGATGGTGTGACAGGGGCCAACCACTAAGGTTTTAAATCTTTAATCACTTTTAAAAACAGCTGTGTGAGGAACTTGAAGACAGTTTCTACTTCAGTGGGCAGAGCTTCACTGTACATCTCTGCAGTCATGGTTTCTCTACTATAACTCCCAGTGTTGACGCGCTAAATAAAAATATGGGTAAACTTTGAATTCTGCACGGTGGTTACAATTTACAACACCAGCCTATTTCTAGAAAATAACTTTTTCGCTTTCATGGTCTTGAGTAAAAAAAGTTTTGAGTAAATTTGTTCTGTATTTGGCGGTTAATTATTTCTGTGGAAATGGCACTCAAAGTAAAGCAGAACTGTAAAGACAACACAGCAGATGAAAGGGATATAAACAGTAGAAATTATAAATGTTTGTAAATGGTTGCAAGTTCACCTCTAGGATTTCTTTCAGCAGACAGTCCCCTTCACAAACAGTTCACAATTCTTCTGTTCTGGTCAGGGACCCTTTTGTTTTGCATGACATCTTGCTCTTGTTTTCTCCCCTAGTTTCCCCGTAAAGCTATATACGCTATAAATAGTCAAAATACCTTGTGGGCGTCTGATGGACTGGTGGTTAAGGTGCACACCGCATAACCACATCGTCCATAGTTCAGTTCAGTCAAATAAAGGCAAAATGCAAAAAACAGATATCCTGAATAAAAGGAATTATAGAAGAAAGTAAGAAGTACAGCGGTAACAAAAAGTAGCAACAGAATTAGACAGATGCAACATTAAGTAATTTAATATCAATAAGTCATCATTAATCTGACAAGAAAACACATTGATCAGAGAGCAGAAAAGAGTTTGCCTTCAGAACTGTTAAGAAACATATCAAGAAAGTGACTTCTTAGTCTAATTACTTTGACTTTGGATTAACTTCATCATAATATCATCACTGATAAAACAGATGAAGAATACTTCATGGTTTTCAGGCTGTACTTTGCTTTTGAAATCATTACAATGTCCCATAGTTTCCACTTTAGCTCTGCGCGTTCTTGTGACAGGTATACAGCTCTCTGCAGGCAGAATTCAGCATCAGTATCAGCAGCAGCATCAGCATCAGCATCAGCATCAGCATCAGCATCAGCAGCAGCAGCAGCAGCAGCAGCAGCAGCAGCAGCTGTCTCATATGAAAATCAGGCCTTTTTTCATTTATGTTTTCTGGTGATTTTTTTTTTTTCATAAGAAATAGAAAATGAAAATCAAACCATTTTTTTATTTTTTCATTTCACTCATCCCATTTTTTACAATGAAAAACAAACATTTTAATGAGTAAGCGCTCTGCTGCCCTGCTGTGAAGAAGGTCAGCTCCCGTTGCTCTGTTATCTGCTGTTTTCTCCCTCTTGCTTTTAAAAACACTTTTCCTCGTCTCCGTTGACAAATTTGGACCTAATTTTTTAGAAACTCTAAAAATAGAGTTTTGTTGCATTAAGGTGGTGCTCCACTTGACAGCTGGAAGGACTCAGTCTGCTCCTGCCGGGTGGCTTCGTGCCTGGTACAACACTTACTGCTCTAAGTGCCTGTTACATAACACTGAAACTGGCAGAGAAAACATCCTTACATTGCATGATTCAGCTGTACTGGTCATTAATATTTTGATTTTGATTTGTAATGACTGTAGTGGTTGTAACTATGGCTACAACATGTAAACTGTAATTGACCAAAACACAGACTCTCATAAAATGCGGTGCTCTATAAGTGATTGAGGTCCAAGCCCCTGCTTAGTTACTACTGAGAGAATCACTGGACCCAGCCTATATCCTACTGCGAACTGTGGCTGACCTCTGACCTCCAATGTGGAGGGGGCAAGAGAAAAGACAATTTCCCTACAGGGATATGATCTTTGTTTGTTTTTAATCTGCATTCCTGACATCACTTGACATCCCTTAGTTCAACAACAAATTATATTTAGCCAAAGAGCTTTAGAGTGATTTACAGAAAACAACATAAACAGATAAATCAATGAAAGGAAAAACAAGAAAGAGCGAGAATTAACCTCAAAGTCCTGTAACAAAGAGGCTGTATATGCTTCCACCAGGAAACGGTTTTGAAGAGGATTATGATAGTGGTACTTTTAGGCCTCGGCTGCTTCGTGTCGAGGCAGCGCTTGTTCCCTGATCTGACAGGAAGTTGGCCGTGGTTACTCTCTTGTTACCAGGAGGTCAAGTGATGGCCCAGGAATTATGCGATGGATTATGGTGTCATTTCTGATAAGGCGTTTTCTCTTGGCACAACAGAAAATATTTGTATTTTATTCGGTGTACATATTGTAGTTCAGAAATAAGATGAGTTCATGAATAAAAGTAAATGTAAAAAATATCAGTTAACACATCCTCCTACATGAAGCATGAAGACATGTCAAGGGTATAGTAATTAATATCTACAGTTTCCTTTTTGTCTCATTATTTTTATATTACATTTTGAATACTAAAATAAAGATGAGATGTGTCATTTGCCCTGTATAGATTAAAATCAGTGGGGTGAATGACATCACCACTAAGTTTATCAGGCCAACACCAGGCTTCAGGCATAGTGGTACTTTGAGTGAAATTATAACATCAAAGACATTGCTGACGTGCTAACGCTAAGCAGTTAGATACCTTTTTTTTTTTGTCTTAAATGTGTCTCCAAGCGCTTTACAATGGAAGCCACATTCACCCATTCATACAGCGCTTTTTCCTAGATATATAGCGCTTTTCTATCACACACACACACACCCATGACACATGATAAATCAGGGGCAATTTGGGGTTCATTCTCTTGCCCGAGGACACTTCGGGCAATCAGCCATAACCTTGGGCCTGAGCAATAGCGGCCCAGGTATGATGCTGTGCTATGTATGAGCTGTATGAATTAGCATGCTAACCTTGATGATTAGCTGAAAATGCAAACACAGCTGAGGCTGATGAATGCCATTAGTTTAGCAGATATTTGGT